TGTCGTTCGTATTTCGACCTTTCCGCCGCCTTTCTTCTTCAGTTCTCAATTGATGACTTCCTTTTTTCGCCCCTGCGCCCCTGCATCTCGTTGTTCTTGACCTCAGCTCACCATGGCCCGGCTTTGCTGCGTGGCACTGCTGCGTGGCTTGGCTGCGTGGCACTGCTGCGTGGCTTTGCTGCGTGGCTTTGCTGCGTGGCACTGCTGCGTGGCTTGGCTGCATGGCTTTGCTGCGTGGCTTTGCTGCGTGGCTTTGCTGCGTGGCACTGCTGCGTAGCTCTGCTGCGTGGCTTTGCTGCGTGGCGCTGCTGCGTGGCTTTGCTGCGTGGCACTGCTGCGTAGCTCTGCTGCGTGGCTTTGCTGCGTGGCACTGCTGCGTGGCTTTGCTGCGTGGCACTGCTGCGTGGCTTTGCTGCGTGGCACTGCTGCGGCGTGGCTTTGCTGCGTGGCTGTGCCCTGACCAGCAGGAAGTCCGGCAGTTTTGTAGGGGCTGGGTCCTCAGACGATTTAACGCGTTATGTATACGGGTAAGAAAAAATTAAGGTGGCACCAGCAGAAGTTTGGATGCGTTAAGTAGATGAGGCCAAGTATGGCAGGGTAGAAGTCGTAGTTTCATTGTGTTCGCAGCACTTTCCACACAATTGCCTGCGTGCAGGAAGGCGCAGAGGCACGGAAGGCTAGGGCAGGGGAGTTGCGGGTTGCCGCGGCAAGCATTGACATGGTGATGAAACATCGTGGACAAAGTCCTTTTTTCTGGTGTAAAGTGTAAAGACTGCGTGTACCATGTTCTGCTCTTGACACATGCTCTTGACATACGCAAGAACAAGCGCGTGGCCATAAGACTGGGATTCTACCCTGAGGATGCTTTAGTGATTTTAGTGCATGTGTGCAGCAGCGCTTGCTTCTTGGCATGCTTGGAATGGTTCCGTGGCGCCGAAACCGCGCCGGAACCATCCGCACACAGCGTCCCAAACCAGTAGCTTTCACGACCCCGCGCGGCTTTCACTGCGCAGGCGCCGTGTTTCGCATGCTTCCCTGCTTTCGAACTTCCACATTGTCCCACGCCTGCCACACACAGTGCCCTCCTCTTGACTCAGCTAGCTCTTGACTGAGCTACTCATGTCAATTGACTGCGCTCTTCGGTTGACTGAGCTCCCACTTGGTTACGCTACCTTTTGACTGAGCTATTCAATTGTGAGCTGAGCTATCCATGTGTCCGTAAACGGACGTTTCTAACTAAACTTCCTTTGATAGTTATTATGATTATACTACGTAACTAAAAGATTTCAAGACCAACGTATGCCGTGTGTCATCTCCGTTCTTTATTTTTAGTCGGAACGCTGCACCCTTCCTCAACCTTTTTTTAACATCCTGTGCGAGTCAGCTTGGGCGATCAACAGGCATCCATCTGTACCCAGCGGTTTTGGGGCGAAGACCTTTTTTTAAGGCCTCTCTTCAATCTGCCCAGGACGTGGCAGAGAAACCGTCGCCAAAGATGCGCAAACCCAGCGAGCCTTGGACAGAAAAGAGGTCGACAAATATTTTGTAAGGAGACAAGCTGCATAACAAAATCTGCCACTGGCTTCAGTTTTCTTTGAAGCCACAGCGCCTTTCTAAAGCATGATGGCAATCTTCAGTCTGTTTTGGATTGAGGAAGTTTCGCAGATCACGGAGCAGCGAGGTAAGAATAAGTTCTGGAACCAAGGCCACGTTGGACACTGACAACTTGGGTAGATCTAGTGACTTTGGCGGATGTGTGACTCGGCCGAAGAGGGGTAGTTGTTGATGGAAGCCTGGAGGGCTGAAAAAGCAAAGCAAAAGCTTGTAACATATGGTTTTGTTTGTGACTTTCTGTCATACTTGCTTCTTTGCTTCATCTGTGCGAAGGAATTGCCAAAGCATGAGGGTGTTGCATGGCAAATGATGTTTCCGCGTTGGCGTCCGTGTGCTTGAAAACCGCTGGTGTGCGAGTCATGACAATTGCAATTTGCGCTGGACCCAGCCGCAACAACGTCATTCAAGAAAATACTCCGTCCAATAGATGTAGCCGATCGCAAGTGTCAAGATAGATGCTCTTGATCGTACCTTGGGGCTCCTCTTCACGCACCTTCCGAGGCAGAACGGCGACCGCTTCCACCTCCTCCACCCGCGCCGAAGAGATTGCAGGAACTGACGACCAGGCAAACCTTCGAACGGTTGGAAAGGAGAAGGATCAGAACAGAAAGAAATACAAATAGGATGAAAGTCCACACATGTGCATTGTTGAAGCGGAGCACTCTGCAATACGAAAGTTTTGGTGACGGCGTTGAAGGTCGATCTGCAACGTTTTTCGAAAACTTGTTTTTTCTTCGGAGGGTGCCTCTGCGGTTGTTTTGCTGCAAGTGGCGTGCGCAGGTCGAAAGGCATGACTAACAGCCTCGAGACGGAGGCAGAGACTTGGAGAACTTGTGGTGGGAAGGCGCTTTTGGCGCATTCCTAGAATGGTGGCCTAAAACTTGATTAGACCGCGGGGTCTTCAAAGCAAGCCACGCCGCCCTCATATTTCCAACAGGGGCTCGATACCACATTTATCTTTTCCACCGCTAGGGTTCCCGAACAGATGGACCGTGCCGCCAAAAGGTTCCTCCCCGATAGGGTTGGCGCTATAACAAAACATGCCCCCTTCCCAAGCGGAAGCATTTAGACTGGAAGGTTGCGAGTCTGGAGCGGCGGGTGTGCGCACTCCAGCTGGAAGTTGGATGGAAGAAGAAAGAAAGCAGCCTCTTAGCTGCATTTGGGGTCAAAATCTTAGGCAAATTTGCTTGTATACCCCGCTGTATTCGCCTGACTTGAGGAACGTGCCCTGGGCGACACTACATATGGAATGTGGAGATCAGTTTGATATCGTGGGTGATCGGCGGTGTGAGGTGGGATTGGGCCGTCTGAGTGGCAGCGACGGAATGGAGTAGAAGTGGTGGGAGGTAAGAAGTTTGGGTAGAATTGTGTTGCGTGGGAGTGACGTAGGTGGGAAAAGACGGTATAAGCCACGGCCAGGTGGAAGAATCGGGTGGAAGGGCGGTTCTGGTGGCTGAGTGTTGGGGTCAATGGTGGGGTCGGTGATTGGAGCGTGGGTCTCGGCATTGGTCAGATGTTGCCGATAGTTGTTGACTAAATCGACAACCGGGTGTGGAAGTTGGTCCCGGAAGCCGTCGCGCCACATAGGTGTTTCGCGCAATGTGGTGAAACTGTGGAGCACCGTAGTCAACTGGAATCGCTGCACACCGACGTCGGTGAGTACAGCCAGTAAGGAGCCTGGGCGGTTGTTGTACGCCCAGTGCCAGAAGCTGGTTGAAATGCCTTCATCTGTGGGAATTGGTGCGCTCATGGCGGTGGCAAATCAAGAAGGAGGTGGTGCGCGCGTGAAGGCTGTGAAAATGGCTGCGGAGTATAGCGGTGGTGTGACGAGGAACGCATGAAACTGCAAGAAATGTGTCAAGCGAAAAATCAAGTGGAAAAGTGAACACAGTTATTACGCAAGCGTACAGGTCCTGATCCAAAATTCGGAAAGATAAATGCCGAATGTTTTGTGGCTAGGTGGCTTCGTCTGTAGCATGAAAGTGAAACAGGGTGTAAAGCTGCCTCGTTATGGCTTCAGCCAAAGTAGTCCTTTGGGCATCGCTAAGGGCTGCAATTGGCATCGGAGGTAGCGGTGGAAAGAGAGGTTGTGGTGCTGGATGTGGCGGAGGTGGACCGCTGGCACCACTTTGGCTCCGGCGCTATCGGCGCCACGGTATGAACCTTCACAAGCGGCCGGGCCTTCGACAGACACTGCGGCTGCTGTCCCTGTACCTTCTTCTCCACTGTTCTTTCACCCCTCTTCCTCTCCTTCCGACCCGTCACCCACTCTACCCACCACACGCCGCCACCGCCGCGACCCCAACACGGTTTACGCCGCCGGACATCGCGGCGCGCTCCATCAGAACCTATGGAGTGTTTCTACTTCGACCTGGTATCCAATGGATGCTGATAAGTTGATGAATCAACGAACCAATAACGCGCTGTTGATCCTGTGGTGTCAGGCCGCGAAGGGTGGGATTCCCAGAAATTCACAGTCCGAGAGGCGTTGAACCAAGGAATGGCATTCAAGAGCGTCAGTGACGCTTGGTGCCCTGGGGAAGATGATCCATGGCAGCCTGTTGTGCCGCAGAAGTAGTCTCATAGTTGTCGAAGAGTTGCCAAATGGGTTCAGTAGCCATGGCGGTAAGGACGAATTGCCAACCATGAGTGGTCCAAACACGGTAATACCACGTCTAAGCCGCAAGAGTCAGGATGCTGATCGACGCAGTGTTTGTAGTAGAGGAGCAAGTTGTGAGTGTGGGGAATAGTCCTGAAAAACCAGCTGCGAAAGAACCAATGGTGTTGATCTCCAGGTGAGCGACATTTCCACTCTTCGAAGGGGTGGGGTGCGCGACTCAAGCCGCAGTAGTTCTCGACGCTGTACCAATTGCGCCAGTCCTGGTTGTAGCGATTGGGGGGATTCGGGGCATGGAAGCAAGGGTTGTTGGATCCGGTGGAGGGAGAGGGGGAGCGGCATCATCAGTATCAGATCCTGCCATCTCATCAATGCCCCAGGATTTGCAAGTGAAATTTCAACCTTTAGAAAAACCGGCGCCGGGGAAATCAAACTTTGCCAACGCTCGCTAAAACGAGACGTCAGTCTTGGATAGTCTGATAATTAAAACAATTTAAAAAATATATTAACGTATTTTATATATATATATATCATATGAAATTCTCCTTGAATTTTTGCCTTTGTGCGTGCAAAGTGTGTGGCCCTGGGGATGCAACGACTTGTGCTGTGTTTTCGGGGCGGGGCTTCAAGTGATTGAGCCTGTTTTTTGCACATTCCATGTTGTCTTCATCATGAACACAAACCCCGCGAAATTGCTAGGGCCAGGGATGGCTCAAGGGAATTAGAGTCACTTTTTACAATAAGCTTTGCGCTTCTTTGAGAGTGCGAGGCATCAGTTCCAGTGTGGTCCGGCAATATTTGGCTTCGAATCAAAGCATTCGCTACCTTGTGCACGACAAGGCTGGGATGGGTGGGTCAAGCGCGTCAAGTCGGTCAAGCGGTGATTCTTCACTAGGTATGCTCAGTTTAGCGCATTCGGAATGCTATGAAATTGCTTACCTTTCAGGTGTCTCGCGGCTTGTTTACGCCGGGTCTTGTTCATTGCGCCAAGGGGTTTTTCGTACAGGTACAGGCAGTACTTTAAAATCATGATTCACGCCCAAGAAGTTTCTTGCTCTCCCAAGGTTCGTGACTACATCTTCAAACACAAGCTCAACGAGCTGCCAAATTGGCAATGAGCTTCTCAGCTACGCTGTGACTCGAAGCTTTCGAACTCAAAACCATTGTCTGCGCGGGAAACAAAAGGAGCGGCTTACATATTGCAATGTTGAAAAGGGAGATTTGCTATTTTTGCAGTGGTCAATATATACTCTCACTGGTCAATGCGTGGACTTTCGCGGCGCTGCCAATTTCTGTGTAGAAATGAGCCTCTGAAGTTCAGTTAGTTAGCCAAGAAATTGCGTGGAGACGAAAGGCAAGACATGCACGTGAGCTCGGGAATGTCGGAGGGTTATACACTGCGTACGATTATCCCCGACCCTCCCTCGCAAGTGGCTTATTATTGACTGAACAGCTGGCCTACGCGTAAGATCTGCTTCTGCCCACCCACTGCTCTAAAACAGAATCGAATGGATTTCTCACACCACCCCAAGAGATGATTGAGGGCCACCTTGTTCGGAGATGATGCTGCTGTGCGCACTTTAGAAGATTCAACTTCTTCTCAGAAGACAATCTTTTTCAGACAAACTTCTTCTCAGAAGACAAGCTTTTTTCAGACATCGACGGAAGAATGATCTTTTTGCAGGGGCTCTCAACACGCAGACTCCGTGTGTGTAGCGTGTAGTGGTGTTCTCGTCCCGCATTGCTGGCTTCGTTGCGCGACCATGTCTGGTGATCGGCCTGAATGCAGCCAGGCGGCTGCCATCTAATCTCTTTGCGCACCGTTCGCATAATTGCGACAAAAACTTTTCAATCCATGAGGATGAGTCTTGCACGGTTTGGTGCCGTTGCTTTGTGCCTTGATTAGGTGTTGAATCTCCTGCTCGTCTCACCTTTGAGGCAAGGAGGAAGAAAGGTTTGTTTCAAAGAGGGGACAGAGGTGATGCTGAGGGGTTCTTGCAGTAGGCGTAAAAGACCGGGTTCGATCAGGGTGCGCTTTCTGGCCCCGTGCGTTTTGGCTGCGCAGAAAAAATTCCAATTTGCAATTTCTCTGCACAGGGTCTCGTGAAACACAGGCCGCGGGACTGCGCTTGACGGAGGCGCGCTCTCGTTTTGTCGCCGTGCGCACTTTTGGATTTGGTGGACACTTTTCGTGGCGGGTGCGAGGGAAGCCTTGTACTTTTTGTGGCAGTTGTTGTGAACCATGACATTTGGACATGTGGCTCGTTTTCAATTGTTGTGGTTTAGGGCGACAACCTGGCTCGGGTTAAGACGCCGAAGACAGCGCCATTCCGACAGGAATGACGCTCGGTACATGTATTTGATAAAATACGAAGATGGGCACGGACAAAAGCCGCACTCCGCCCGCTCGGTATGCTTGCAGAGAGTTGACAGACTGCATTTTGGGGCTGCCTCAAGCGGCGGCAGCTCGTGACCAGGGGGCACTGATGCCAGCGTGGGTGGGCCAGCTGGCTGTGCCAGTATGGTGGCTGGATGGAGCGATTTGATGTCCATAGGGTCACGGGGGGCCGTGCGCGTCGAGGTGCTGGAGGCGAAGGTGGAGACGAAATGTGGCTCGTTTTCGGAAATCGTGGCAGGTGCAATGCTTTGTTGGCCAGGCGCAGTACTTTGTGGACCTTGAAGTGCAGGTTTCGTGGCAGGCGCAGTACTTTGTGGACCTTGAAGTGCAAATTTCGTTGCAAATGCAATATTTTTGTGGACCTTGAAGTGCAGATTTCGTGGCAGGCGCCGTGCTTTGTGGACCTCGAAGTGCACATTGTGGCAGGTGCGGTGCTTTGTGGACCTTGAAGTGTTTTTTTTTGGCAGGCGCAGTATGTTGTAGGCCTTGAAGTGCAAATTTCGTGGCAGGCGCAGTACTTTGTGGCCTGAAGTGCAGAGTTCGTGGCAGGCGCAGTGCTTTGTAGACCTTGAAGTGCAGATTTCGTGGCAGGTGCAGTACTTTGTGTTGAAGTGTAAATTTGGTGGCAGGTGTAATATTTTGAAGGACCTTGAAGTGTAGATTTCGTAGCAAGCGCTGTATTTTGTGGACCTTGAAGTGCAAATTTTGTGGGCGGCGCGATGGTTTGTGGACCTTGAAGTGCAGAGTTCGTGGCAGGCGCAGTACTTCGTGGACCCCGAAGTGCATATGTCGTGGCAGGTGTGGTACTGTGTGGACCTTGAAGTGCGGATTTCGTGGCAGGTGCAACACTTTGTAGACCTTGAAGTGCAGATTT